ACACAATGATCACTCAAAAGATCAGCAAATACACCTGTACCAGGGAATTTGTGAGGCATATTAGTTAGAAACAGGTCTAAGATGGAGGATTTTTCAGGACGGTTTTTATTTAATCTAGTGGGAGAGTTGATCAGTTGGGTAAGATTAAGAGACAAGCAACATTCCTTGAATTTATCACAGAGGGGAGTCGACTTACACCAATCAATGTTGAGATCTCCAGCCAAAAGGACCTCTTTGAGTTTTAAATTACCAAGAAATTCCATCATGGCAGTCAATGCCTCAGGTGATGCTGTGTGTGTGTGTGTGTGGGGGGGGGGGGGGGGGGGGGTAGCAGCAGACTACAGTTAAAATCTGGCCTCTATTCAAGGTGATGTTTACAGATAAGGCTTCAAACTGGTTTGGAATTGTTTTAGAAGACACAAGACTAGAAACCAGAGAATCTCTAATGTAAATAATGACTCCACCCCCCCTTTTTTGATGATCACAGCGGTAGATGTTAAATCCATTGATTGCCACGTCATTATTCATTACAGATTTGTTGAGCCAGGATTCAGAAATAAAGATAACATCTGACCCAGAGGAACAGACCAGAATTTTCAAAGCATCAAGTTTTTTCAGAAGGCTACGAGCGTTTACATGCAGAAAATGAAGCCCAGAGGCATTTTTAAAGTCATTTGGTGTGCTGTAATTAGTGGGGGGTCCAGGGTTGGGCTGAATCCCTGAGAGCAGTAACAACATTATTATCAGACATTTTCTTGAGTTTTTTGTGACTGATGTGTAATTACAGGAGTTAACAGTGTGACAATTAGCCCCCATAATCGAACCATGAGAAACATTAATGAAGACGTGATCATTCAGAACCCAAAAACAGTGAAAGTTGCAGTGATGGACAGATTCAGGTGTATTAACAAGATTCAGTGACTCCAGATAATCTGAGAACTGAAAATAGTGACAATAATATGAATGATGCAGAAAAGTTTCAGACCATAAAACGTCACAGTTCAAATGGGCAAACAAACCTGACGAGGTGGCCCAACTGCAGTTTGAGTTGGGCTGAGGGGGGCTCCGGCCCCCCCAGTGAAGATGGATGGATGCTTCCATGGGAAACAGAAGCTGGGTCCAGAATCAACAGGCCGAAACAGAAACAGATAATTCGCATCAAATAGCAGAGCGAGCTGCCAGAAAATCCTCCTGAAGTGAAAGGCATGATCCTAGCTCGTTTCAGGTCAACAGGGGCCAACAGCGTGATCCGGAATAAAATTAATTATTATCCAGGTGAGTTTGGATGGAAGCCTGCAGCAACTCAGATACAAACTCCGAACTTCTCTCGAGCACCACGCAGCCCTGCTCCTTCACGCTGCTCCTTCACGCTGCTCCTCCACGCTGCTCCTCCGCTTCTCAGCACGTCACCTCTGCACCCGACAGCACGGGGCACCCCCGGTGAAAAGCGAGACTGACCGGAGAGGCTGAGGCTGAAGTCGGCAACTGGTCCAGTCCGATTCTGCTCCAGTTCGGCTCCGGCGCTCCAAGCACGAGAGACGAAGAGGCTGAAGATATCCCTGGCCCGGTTCTGCTCTGGTCCGGCGGCCCAGTCTGGCGGCGTGGTTCTGCTCCGGTCCGGCGGCGCTTCAAAGCACCGGAGCGTCTCCTCCAGGTGAACACAACGACTCCACAGAGGTGGATCGTCCTTCGGTGAAAGTAACGGGCTGCTCACTGAAGCTGAGACTGGCTCTGTTGAAGACGAAATCCCCACAGCCACCTCGGTTTGGTTCTGGTCCAATTCAAGGGACACACAGGTACACTTCCCCCACACCTATGAAGACACCACGAGGGCCAGTCCAGAAGAAAACCAGCGAAATACCACCCGGCGATATTTGTCGGAACCAGGTAGAACCACAAAGGTCCAGATAAGAGTTTGTTGAGGTCCAGAGAGAGAGAGAAAAAAAAACACTGGACCTTCGTGCGTCGATTCCCCAGCTCGAGGGGTCACCTGGCCGGCAGGGTGCGCTCAGAGTGACCGGTGGGAGGGAGCGGCCGGTCGGTCCTGGACCAAAATATATTTTTGGACGGTCCCGTCCGGCTCTCTGAGTCACTGAACACCGAATTCGGTTGGAAGGAGGACCAACTTTAGTCCGGTTTGAAAAACGGGTCAGTTTGATGATAAAAGACTGCAGAGAAGCCGGAGGGAGCTGCCGTCCATCAGCTCGCCGGAAGTGAAGTGTGATCACATCAACTCTGTGGATAAATACATCAAGTTCACACGAGAAGATGTAAAAAATGGCAGGTTGGCTTTCTTGGACTGTGAGGTCTCAGTCTCCGATAGAGGACATTTGCAAACTGAGGTGTACCGCAAACCCACCCACACAGACCAGTATTTGCAGTTTGACTCCCATCACCCTTTGGAGCACAAGTTAGGAGTCATCAGGACTCTGTATCACAGAGCAGACAGCGTTCCCACTAGCTCAGGAGCCAGGCAGAAGGAGAAATCCCACACAAAACAGGCTCCAGAGCAATGTGGATATCCTAACTGGGCCTTCCTGAAAGCAGAGAGGAAACCCAAACAGGACTCCAGTCAGCCAACAGGTGAAAAGGAGGAACCCAGATCATTCCATATGTTGAGGGAGTATCAGAGAAACTGAGACGTTTATTTTCTAAACATAACGTCCCAGTGGCTTTTAAACCCCAAAATACATTACGGCAAAGACTGGTTCATCCCAAAGATCCAGTCCCCCGGCACAAACAGAGTAATGTTGTGTATGCTGTTCAGTGTCAGGAGGGCTGTGATCAGTCTTACATTGGGGAAACTAAACAACCACTGGCCAAAAGGATGGCCCAGCACAGAAGATCAACATCATCAGGCCAGGACTCTGCGGTCTACACTCATCTCCAGGCCAGTGGTCACTCTTTCAAGGATGAAGATGTTCACATCCTGGATAGAGAGGAACGATGGTTTGAGAGAGGAGTAAAGGAGGCCATCTTTGTGAAAATAAATCGTCCATCATTAAACAGGGGTGGAGGCCTCCGGGTTCAACTGTCCCCCTCTTACAATGCTGTGATTGCTAGGATCACTCAGCCCTCTGTGAATAGTAAACAGCCATCAGTGTGCTAATGATCCATTGTTAGGCTGATGGTTCTTCTTGATCATGTGAGCAGCTGGTTTTGGTTGTCAGCAGCAAACTGGTTGATCCACTCTGAGAAGGTGCTATTTAAGAGACTGAGCTGAATACAGCACCTCAGACTCAGGAAGTCTCTCGGATGAAAGACGAAACATTTCTATATTTTTTGTTGTTGTTTTGCTTTGTTTTGTTTTTTGAATGTCCAGAGGACTAGATTTAACTTTTTAGCATACAGCATATGTATTACTAAACAGTATTTTATCGACATTTATGTACTTTTACGCTCGGCTTTTATCATATGTTATTGCACGCTAAAGCAAAATAGCATTTTAGCTTACCCGCACACATCGTTTAGCTCGCCTCCTGTCTTCTATTTCATAGCGCTCTAGGGCTTCCTGCACTCTCCTGTACTTCTCCAGAGTTCTTTGCCTCGCTTCCTAAAGCCGTTTCTGACTCTCTTGTCTTCGACGGCATTCAAAAAGCCACAGACTGAGAAGTAAGAAGAACAAAGACACGATACTCTCCATTTTGTTTTATGGTCATCTTCTTCTAACACGTTTAGTTGTGGCGACAAAAGTAGCTTAATGGCGCACTCCCGCCACCATCTGGTAAGGCATGTTGGATTCTGGACCCCGCCCACTAGAACCGGTACTGAAAGCATAATGGAAACACAACATGTACTGTACCAGTAGAGTAGAGCTGTGCTGTACCGGTACTACAGGTACTAATGGAAAAGGGGCAAGTGTCTGTGTGGACATATACAAAAATAGAGGACACGATCCAAACTAACGTGGATATTTATTTTATTATCATCCACCACCATAAAAGATGGGTGATCATGTAACTGCCTGTATGCTAGCAAAATTTCTCACAAACAATGAAACTCTGAAATCATTCACTAGATGTTCATCATTGGCCACAACCCTGCCAGTATCACAAACACTGAGCTAAACATTGATTGATTAAGATCACTGGCTAAAATTCTGGTATGAAAATCACTGATCACGCATTCCTTCAATGAATGTTAGTTTTGTACACAATATTTTTTGCTTGGCGGCATGGTGGCTCAGTTGGTAGAGCTGCCGCCTCTCAGCAAGCTGGTCTCCGGTTCAAATCCCAGCCGGGGACCTTTCTGGGTGGAGTTTGGGCGTTGTCTCTGTTAGTGCGTGGGTTTTCTCTGGGTACTCCAGCTTCCTCCCACAGACCAAAAACATGCATGTTAGATTGATTGGTAACTCTAAATTGTCCCTAGGTGTGAGTGAGAGAGTGAATGGTTGTTTGTCTCTATGTGTCCTTTTGATGGACTGGAGACCTGTCCAGGGTGTCCCCCACCTCTCACACAGTGACTGCTGGATATAGGCACCATTGACCCCCATGACCCAAAAAGAAAGAAGTAGGTAAAGATGATGGATGGATGGCTCTTTTTACTTTGTTTCAACACATCAAATCCCTCACAAAGTATCAACTTTATTTGCTTCAATAAAAAAATATCACATCATCGCAAACTTTCAGGTTGAGATGCACATACATGTCCTCAGTTCTTGGCTTAAATAAATATTCAACAATGCTACAACTAAATCAGCACCTTAGTGTTAACTGACTCCTGCCTCATCAGTTCAAAGCACATTATTTTGCAGATGTGTAAAAATGCTTCATTTTTAACTGATTCCCTAAATGCTTTCAGGTGTTAATGGACTAATCCAAAAACAGAATTATTTTGACATTACACAATAAGAATAGGACAAGCCAAGTTATCTAGACCAGTTATACACAAACCACAGAAAATGCATTCAGTGCATCATTTGGGTGAAGTGACGAGAAACATTTTTTCTGTTTCAGCGTAAAAGTAGGCCATGACACACAGCCAAAACTGTTCAACAATCGTCAGATCTTGTAAAGGCCAAAAAAGTTGGCATAATGTGTATGACTAAGATAGCTGCGATGCGATACATTCACAAAAACTTTGTCATATTTCTTCAGCAGCTGGACAGCGCCCAGGTAACTTTCCGTGGTCCAGGACTGACCTGTATTCTGAGGGCAGAACCCCACCCTGTGGGCCTCCATCAGAGTCAAAGGTGAGGAGTGTCCCACTCGTCTCACAAACACAGAGTGCTCAAAGGAGGAAAACGAGAAGCACTCCTTAAAAATCAATTCTACTCGGGAGTAAATGTGATAGAGTCCAGTCTCGTTGACCTGCAGAGCACCGTCTTCAGCTCTGTACGTCACTCCACCAGAGGTGAACGCCTGACCTGTCTTTGGCTCCCATCGTAAGGTCTTTCCATATTTGTTTTCCCTTTCGATGCGACCTGCAGGTAGAAAGCCATATTATGAGAAATTTGACAACATGAGAAAATCCAAGAGTAAATCTCAGGTGAAGAGAGGGTTTACCAATCACATGTGCTGCTGGTCTGGATTTGTCTTCTACATTTGGCACGGGTTCATAGAGACCTGAAAGAATCACCAGATTATTCAAACCAGCTTGTCTTTTACAGGCAATATTTGAGAATGCTTTGTGCACAGTGAAATGTGTTTCATGATGGACACCTACCTATTTGCTTCAAAGGAGCACCACCCTCAATCATAGGTTTGAGTTCAACCTTCAGTGAACAGAAAGAGGCAGACAAATCATGTTACCACATCACACACAGACCGGAACCTCATTCTTTCTAAAGCGCTTTCAGAGCACAAGTAACACAGAGGATATCCTGTCTAAATGGACGGGTGACCACAGATGAAACAGTGAAGATACTAATCTGCATTTTTAAATGTCAGAGCAGAGCAAAGCTTTGCTTCTCTGATGTAACTTTACTAAATTGGGTGAATTAATTATTAAACTTTTCAAGTCTGCCCAGACTTTCCAGCCACAGTTCCACTCTCCCACATGACACCTCCCTGTCACCACCTCTCTATGCAGAAGACAACTTGTTTTTATCTTTACTGCTTAGCATCAATTACAAAATAAGCATGCATAGTACAATGGTACACTGTTTTAAACAAGACTGTTAATTTACTGTTCAGTCAACAGACAGAACAAAGTTTGTTTCTGATCAGTCGTTGGTGGTCACACACTGCTGCACCACAGCCTTTCAATTTGATCGTTTACTCTCAGTCTTTTCTTACTTTTCACATTTTCTTTGTTAGTTCTTACCTTTTCTGCAGGTGTTCCTTTCATTTTTTTCTGTATCTGAAAAATCTGCCAGGCTTCAAAGCCCAGAGCTGCAAACACCAGCAGGAACAGCATCAGCACCATCATGGCCAGGCTCGGTTTGATTCCCATGAAGCCCCGAGCCTTCCCACGACTCTTTATCATCTCAGCTGCCGGTGGGAACGACCAGCAGGGAATCAGATTCGGAGGTTGGGTGGAGTGGTGTGGACCTCCACCTTCATTTACAAGAAACACCTGTGGGAGCGGATATGTCTGGTCACAGCTCATGATGCGAGTCCTTCTGACACGAGCTGTCTGTGCATCTGGCTGCGCTGCACGAAGGAGGTGTGGACTTACTGAGCACTTCTGTCAAGTTACATGTTAAACTCAAAAAGCTGTCAAGGCATTTACCACCCACCTTTCCCACCCACGCTCGCCTCAGACACTGCTTCTGTCCTAAATTCTGCACAAACCAATAAAATAATCTCTCTTCATCATACTCACTGTTGTTGCTGAAAATCATTTTTTTAGTCTCTGTGTGGTTATGATGTGCACACAGATGAGTCCTAAACGCAACATAAAGGAAGTTTGAGGTTTTGGCGGACCCATACCTCTCTAAACACCTTCTCATTTCAGAAAATACATCTTATTACAAATTCCATTAAAGGAACAAGTGATAAGATCACATGCCCAGGTATCGTTTTCCACATGACAATTTTTGACGACAATGCTTGATTTACTTCCAATGGCCTTTTTAAGGGGCACATGAATTCAGTGAATTTATCCTGCATTTTTATTGTTATGCCCATTATTTTTAAACCGTATTTTCATGTGTTTCAATCTGCATGTTAGTAAACAGTGATACAGCAGTTTCAAAAGCACAGCATATTCTTGGTGGGAAGATGTTGCTGCCACATGAAAGGCTGAATATCTGCTTGATGGGTTTTATGCTGCCTGCAAGTGCAGAGTTCAACAATCACAAGGAAATTTAACAGAGGTGACAATTAACCCCAACCAGTTACTCCTCGTACCAGTTCTCATCTGTTGGTTAATAAAATAATCACATGGCAAATATTAGTATGTGCATCTTGGGTGACTTTTGGTGGTTTTCATAAAAGGCCTGTGTCCAGATTAAGAAAAAAAAAAGATTATGGTGGAGTAGCAGTAATCTTGTCCCATGCAGACTTTATGAAAGTCCGTACTGACCTGCATGCAAACTGCTTCATGGTTTATTTCATGCAAAGCCATTTTGTGAAAAATACTGTATGCATGCAAAATGTCCTGTGTGAGTTTGTGCGTTTGAGTGTTTATTGAGTGTCGGACTCTTGCATCCACTGATGCACGAGTTTTGTTTCATTTCTTCAGCTTCACTCAAAGGGAAACCCACCTTGCAGCATGCACGAGAAGCTCAGACTTAAAGGGCAGTTATGTCAAGTTTAACCATAAGCTTCACAGGCTGCCAGTGATGAGTCTGTTTCCCAGAAACATCATGTGGAAAGAGGCTTCTGCAGCAACAGCACAGAGTGAGGTGGGAGGGTGGGGTTTTGGGGTCTAACCAAGCCGTGCTCACAACTGCCGCTCCAGTTACTTTAACCTGATGAGAGAAATAAAAGAAATCGCTGAATCAGCAAAATGGTCTTTTAATCATTCTGAAGTTCCCATCATCGTTTTTTTTACATACAACAATACAGTTGTGCTCATGATGACTGATTACGCAAATTACATAAAATGTTTATTTCCTTACACAACTAGTTTGATTATTTTGTATTCTGATTCAACATAACCAATGTCATCTCTTTCAACACATAATATGTCATATAGTCAAAGAAGCATATGATTAAAAGATGACAGTTTAGTTTTCTGCAATACTTAGTCATTTAACTTTTAACTAGTTTATGTTGAATTTTTATTTTAAAGAAAGCCTCTTGCTCATACTCTAAAAATATAACTTACAGTTTGTTTCTGTAGAAGGATTGGACACAATAAAATCCTAAAAAGACTAATATTATCAATTAAGTTAAATTAAATTAAATTCTGTTTATTTATATAACTCCTAGTCACAGCAGAAATCATCTAATGGCAATGTATAAAAACATTTACATTTATCATAAAAGCCATTTTGTAAAAGTTATTTATCTATGGAAGCCAACGGATTGTGTTGAGTCTTCACTTTGTTGCATCTCTCATCCTGAGCAAGCACAAAGGCAGCAGTGGAAAAGAAAAAGTCTCTTTTAACAGGAAGAAATCTACAGATAATTATGTAAATATGGTAAAGAAAAATAAAGTATTAGGTATTTGTCATGCTAATACTGGTGAAATATATCTAGTTTCATACTACAATCCTATGGGTTACTATGCTCATCAGAGGAAAAGCAACATCACGTCCCAGTACATGACCAGCCTTCTCCTGCGTTTTACTGTCAGATAATTAAATAAACTGAATTGTTCTTTTTCTCTTGAACAACAACTTTTTTGTCCATCAACAGAACTATTTGTGGCTCCATCTCTAAGTTCCTGCTTTTAAAAATCTTTTTGTCTTGATGAAGAATGATTAAGGTTTGGCATGCAGCATCCAGGCAAGATTTTGTATTTGTGGGGAACTAGCTGAACCAATGGTCTTCTTAACACAATCACAGCCACCACCAGTCATATACGAGTGGAGAGAGAGGCTCATCCTGAACCAAACAGACCATCTCTGAGGTTTTGGAGACAAATCAGATGAAAAAGGTATGGTAGTTTCAACAGTGCTGACTTTGAGGAGCTAATGAATGAAGAGAATGAAAGAGAAAGAGTAGAAGTCATAGAAACTGTAGACCAGGAAGTAGGAAAGATTAGTGAGGAGGAAGTTCAGAAAGCTCTGAAAAGAACCAAGAAAGGGAAGGTAGTAGGATCTGATGACATACCAGTGGAGGTTTGGAAATGTCTTTGAGAGATGGCAGTGAGTTTTTTTACTCAAATATTCAATGACATATTTCAGGGTGAGAAAATGCCTGAAGAATGGAGAATAAGTGTGCTGGCTGCTGGTGCTCATTTTTAAGAACAAAAGTGATGTACAGAGCAACTACAGGGGAATTAAGTTGATGAGCCACACGATGAAGATCTGGGAGAGAGTTGTGGAAGTAAGGCAAATCAGAGGTGACCATCTGTGAGCAGCAGTATGGTTTCATGCCAAGAAAGAGCACCACAGATGCCATCTTTGTTTTGAGAATGCTGATGGAGAAGTACAGAGAGGGTCAGAAAGAACTCCATTGTGTCTTTGTGGATTTAGAAAAAGCATATGACAGAGTGCTGAGGGAGGAGGTGTGGTATTGCATGAGGAAATCTGGAGTGGCACAAAAGTATGTTAGACTGGTACAAGACATGTATGAGGACAGCAGGACAGTGGTGAGATGTGCTGTAGGAGTGAGGTGGAGGTGGGAGTGCATCAAGGATCAGCTCTGAGCCCCTTTTTGTTTGCTCTGGTAATGGACCGACTAACAAATGAGGTCAGGCAAGAATCCCCATGGACTATGATGTTTGCAGACGACATTTTAATATGTGGCGAGAACAGGGAACAGGTGGAAGAGAACTTGGAGAGGTGGAGTCATTCACTTGAAAGAAGAGGAATGAAAGTCAGCCATAGTAAGACAAAATACATGTGTGTGAATGAGAGGGAGGCTGGTGGAACAGTGAGGCTACAAGGAGCAGAGGTCACAAAGGTGCAGGACTTCAAGTACTTGGGGTCCACTGTCTAGGAAAATTGGGAGTGTGGTAAAGAAGTGAAAAAGAGAGTCCAGGCAGGATGGAGTGGATGGAGAAAAGTTTCAGGAGTGATTTGTGACAAAAAGGTGTCAGCAAAGGTCAAAGGAAAAGTTTACAAGACAGTGGTGAGACCAGCTATGTAGTGGAGACAGAGACATGGACAAAAAGACAGGAGAAAGAACTGGAAGTGGCAGAAATGAAGATGTTGAGGTTCTTCTTAGGAGTGACAAGGATGGATAAGATTAGGAATGAGACCATCAGAGGTACAGCACAGGTTGAACAACTGGGAGCTAAAGTTAGAGAGACCAGACTTGGACATGTTCAGAGGAGGGACAGTGGGTATATTGGTAGAAGGATGTTAGAAATGCAGCTGCCAAGAAAAAGACAAAGAGGAGATACATTGATGCAGTTAGAGAGGATATGGAGGTAGTTGGAGTGAAGACAGAGTGAGATGGAGGAGGATGACTCTCTGTAACGAGTCGCGACCCCTGAAGGAGGAAAAGCCGAAAGAAGAAGAAGATTCAATAGTGCCAGTTTGACTGTTTTCTGACTCATTCGGTCCTCATCAGCACCCTTTAAGTCACAACACTTTCCGCCTCTCTGTTCTCAACTCAATAAGAATGAACGTTTTACCTAATTACATCACCAGTTCCAGGAACAAAGGAACCTCTGTTGATCTTTTCCAGGGTGCAGAATGCTAAATGGTACACCTTCCTTAGAACTAATATGAAACAGACTTTTGACTCCAAAAACAGGCCAATTTTTATACAAAAATAAATAAATAAATCACGTTTTAACAGCTCCAAACAGCCTCTCAGAGGCTTTTTTTTTTACACAGTTGTAAATCCCTCAGCGTCTACTTAAAAAAATATTCTACCCTTTTTGACCAGTGGAAGATTTACAGCTCCTCCTACAGGCTAAGTTAGAAACCAGCTTCACATTTTTTAAAACCTTACTATTTCTAATAAAATGTTTTATCTGTTATAATAAATAATAATATTTTTTTATTTATAATGCACTTTACATTCACAATGAATCTCAAAAGTGCTACAATGAGTGAACATCAGATAACATCAGGAGAAAAAGCAACCAAGAGAAGGAACAGCCAGGAGGATAGCACCTCAGAATGATCACATCAAAAACTTAAAATGCACAAAATGCAGATAAAATACTTAAACAAGAACTATAAGTGAATAATAATTAAAAAGCAACAACAACAAAAAGTACAATGCAGTGTTAATCTTAAAATATATTATGTTCTCCATTGTCAAAGTTACTCTGAAAATGGGTTAACCATTTGTAAATCCATCTTGAATGTACTCAGTATTCCAGAATTATCATTACAGTTCAACAACATTTTATGTTCTCGTTATATATATATATATATATATATATATATATATATATATATATATAT